CCCCAAAACCCCAAAACCCCAAAACCCCGTGATTAAATATTTTAAAGAAAGCAAAATGTTATGAAATTAATTTAATTAAAATATCTATCAATGAATTTCAATTAGCTCTAGGCTCTGTATTAAATTTAACAACGTTTATTGCATTTCTTGTTCTATGATTGAAGCCTAGTTATGTTATGTGGCCAAGTTACTTTTGCAATGTCATCATGTGTGTATTAACAGGCTCAAAGTAATTCTAATCTAGTTTAAAGTTTTCAATAAGAATATTTGTATCCAATGAAGAAGGCTTCATAAATACAGGACCAACTTTTCTTTACAATTCTAAAATCCTTTTATTGAAAGCTTTGAAAATGACATTTTTGCCAACCAAACTTTACTTCTCTTTTTCTTGTTCTTCTTATTCCTTTTTTAGTCTTTCTAACTCAGCCCTCTTCATCATGGCTTTTTTCACTTTCTTTTCTAATGTAGGTGACTTAGCGAATCGACTTTGTTAACTTTTCATCCTTTTTACAAAGAGATTCTCATCGTCATATATTTACTTTACAAATACTTGTGACTCCTTATTTGAGAAAGATGCTGTAAATTTTAAAGGATTGGCAGTCTCATCCTTACATATCTCAATACCAAGATCAAGCAACTTTTAGCTTTCATGATAAAGCCTCTTTTAAATCTCTTTAATTTTTGTCTTAAGTATATTTGCGAGTTCTATGCTTTCTTCAATTTCATTATAAGTAGTTTTTTCTTTTGAAAATTTCTATTTGATAGTTTTTTCTCTTTTCATCTACTTTTTAAGTTTCTTTAGATAAAAAAGAAGCTCCTAAAGTCCATATCTCTATTCTCTTAGCTAGCAGAGCTAATCTCTGATGTTTTCCTTTGCCTTAACCTTTTATTATTCTTCCTGTTGAATAATTAGAGACTTGTAATTTTACAGATTACTAACTTCCTTCCTTGTAAAAGACCGAGATATTCTCCTTTTAATTTCATAGAAGTGACCACTATATAGTATTTTACTTGCTTTATTAGAGACATTGGCAAGTTACCTAAAATATGAATTTTGTTCTTCTAGGTCTTGCATTTTTCTTTTCTAATCACCGATTATATTTTCTAGTTACTTCCTAAATTCCTTGATTGATTTATTAAGATAGATTTTCTAAACCATTTTCATTTGCTTAATTCTAAAGCTTGATTAGGATGGAAGGGAGCGACCTGTGTTATTCTGAGATTAATTAGACCTCTATGATTTAGACCTGCTACTATCATTTGATTGTATAATTGACTAGTCTTTAACTTCTGATGATTACATTTGTAGGCTTCTTTATTGCTTGATATATGGTTTGGGGGGGAGCTGATGGTTTGAAAAAGGAATTGGAACTTTATCATTGTACTTTTTATGGTTTGTCTTAATAAGTGTTGCATTATTTTGAATATCAGTAACTTCAGTTCTAGGCACTTTAAAACTATGAAGCACCTATGGTGATGGCTTTATGTCAGCAGACATACTATAACTTAGGATTTCTCTCTTAAGCTATTTATTTGTTGACATCAAAGGTGATGGAGCTAATAGAACTGCATATTTGATATTGGAGAAAGGCTATTTGATTATTTTATATTCAGCTTTCCTGGGCTTAACTTTACAAGGAATATGCAAGTTCAATTCTTTATTTCCAGTTTGATGCAAAAAGTTAAGTTTCTTAGCCTTTTAAAGCATTTTAATTTTAAGTCTTATATAGTCATCCTAAATCTCAACCTTCTTTTTGTTTTTCTCATTGTCCATCTGCTTCTTGAATTGCATAAATATCTTCGGAATTACTCCCTTTTTATTTGCTATCTTTTAATCAATCAAAGGATTGATTGAAATTTTATCAGAAGATTCATTTTCTCTAGATTATGTCGCTCCATTTTAAGTTTAAATCTTCCTTATTTAACTAATCCTCTTAGTTTCGTAGTTTTTAAGATCAGAGTTTGGCCTTACTTCTTTTTGTGAAGCCACATTCCTCTAGAGTTTGAGATCAGAAATATTGTGACATATTGTCATACTGGTAATATGCTGATTAAAATTTGGTTTGGATGTTTAGTAAAAGCTTGTTGTTGTTAAATTCTTAGGTAGTTGATTATTCCTTGATAATTTCTTTATTCTGAGCATCTCCTTGTCTACAATCATTTTCTTTTTATGGTATGAAATGGTCTTTTCATTCATGTAAGATGATAACTCATTTCGATCAAATACTTCATGATCATCAATAATGAGGCTATTCTTTTTGGTTTGAAGATTATTAAAACCCTCTTATATTTATCTATTTAAGTTTTCAATTACTTTGTTTCTCTATACCTTTTCAGATTAACTAAAATCAGATTATGAACCAACAAATGAATTCATAGTCTTTGACATTATCTTATCTTGAGTAGTGTGCAGTGTACTATCATTATATATTTTCAGAAAATTCATTTTATCTTAAGTATAATTTCTTATTCTGATCCTAAATTTAACGATCATGGGGTTTTGGGGTTTTGGGGAGATCGGAAGAGCACACGT